TTGAACAACACAACTAAAGACAGCATGTCATTTATTGTTTGCAAGTTTATATTTAATGGCTAGTTGAACAACACAACTAAAGACAGCAAGTCATTTAATGTTTGCAAGTTGATATTAAATGGCTAACTGGACAACAAGAATGAATACCGCAAGTTGTTAAGAAATTGCGTCATTTCCTAGACTAATATTTTACTGAATTGATTAGTTATGAAGATGAACACATGTATGTTTGTAATATCCATAGTTTCATTTTGTTTCCCGCATTATAATACACTATATCATTTATACTTGACATTAGTTTTCGTCACAAGTATTTCACCAAACAGGATTTTCTACAATGTCTATGATGCAGTGTTTTACTCTGTAAACATGGCATACGTAACTGTTTAACTAATCATATTATATGATGATTGAATGTAGTCGGCTGATTATGTGAACTTTCTGAATATCCATTAATTACTGTCAAAGCTTTTTATTCTCAATACTTCGAAATATAATGATATACATAATGTATGGACGCCGAATTGTTTTTCGTTTTGACATCCTCTAACCGACGTTTACTTGTAGGAACGTTTTGCCAAATTTGGATATCTCCTCCAATAGTAGAAGAAAATTTAAATTATCATTGCAAAGCAAAGGGGCTAGCTCTTCAAAATGTTACATGGAATTAAACAATCTCTCTCAACCTCAACATTTACAATGATTATGGCGTATATGACATATCTTGAACACGTGTTCTATTCAGCTTGTAATTTTCCGACTTTTAAGATGCCCTAATTTAAGCGGATAAAATGGACGTCAAATTGAACAATCGGACCAAAAGAGCTTAAGTCTGAAGTCTTTGTATTCTCCAGAACACCTATACACACATCCGTTCTCAATACATTTATATAAATGTTGTCCTGAAAATAAAGATCAGACAATCTTAGCGATCAGTTCCTTCTTCCAAAACAGGCAAAAACCACTATGATATGAACACTTTAACGGATTAGTGATTCACATCACATTATTATTTCATTAATTTTAAACAATTACAAGATATAATTGATTTCATTTGCGTGCCTATTTGGTTTCGGTTTCCATGAAATTTCTTTGACAAGCTTCGATTTGTGTTCGGTGTGTTACTCAAAACTTATTTTCTGTTGTAAATTGCCAAGGCCGTTACTAAAAATCATACACCATGTTTTTTTTTGTGAACAGTTATCCCTTGTTCAACTTGAACTGTTGATATTTGCATACTTTACCATAATTTGTATTTCACTCAATGGAAATTAATATACAGTATATAGTTCTTAACACAACACGGGTGCATCAAAATGAAAATTATGTCGAGGTTGTGACCGAAGGGGCAAAATTAAATATTATTTTAATGCTTTGAGTAGGTTGATTTTATGTGACCCCACCCTACACAAAATCTCAAAGAAGACCTCTGTTGCCTTGATAATTATTCATACGTGATGTGCCGTATGGCAGGGTTATACGTCCTAGACATGATGTCACAGTGGAACTTATTTATAACTATTTTGTGCTACCGCCTGCA